TCCGCACCTGGCGCCCCGCCCGGCCGCGCTCCGCCCCGCGCACCGCCTGGTGCCCATTGCCGACGAGCCGCGCGGCCAGCATTTCAATTAGAGACGCCCCGCTCCCTGGCCTCCCGCGCACACACACCGGAGCCCGCGCTCAGCCTCGGGGTGGCTCGGGGCACGGAGCTGGGGACAGGGGAGGGGGAGAAGCCGGGCGCGCATCCCTAGTCCTTGCTGCGTGACCTTGGAGAGCTTTCCTGCCCTCTCTGGGCGGGGACGTCGTAAATGGAAATGTGAAGCTAATCAAACCAGATGTGATTACTTCTGAGCTCCCCAGAAGCCTGTGACCATAAAAAGACACCTAAGAATAAGGCAGCTCTTTATGTACTGATTCGGAGTAATCTCCAAGATATATTGTCAGGTGACAAAAGCAAGGCACAGAACAGTGTGCAGGGTCTGCTACGTCTTGTGTATTAAAAATAGGACGAAAGAAAGAGAATATGTGTCCCTATTTGCTTGTATATGTCTAGACAGGAAACGTATAATATGTGCTCGCCTCTGGGGAGGAGAACTGGGAGACTGGGGTGGGAGGGAGGCTTTTCACCGAATAGGCTTCCAGCCCCTTATGTTTGGAACCATGCGCAGTTATTACCTATTCAAAAAATAAAAGACAAAGCCACACACAGCAGAGGTCATTCTTGACTCTCGGCAGCTTTCGGAAGTGGGAGCCCCAGGGGCACAGATGAACTGGGACCCTACCTGAAAACCCTAGGGAAAGAGCACCCCGCCTGCCGCCCTAGAACACGAGCTCATGAGTCAGGAAGTCCTTGCCAGTATCTAATCCCATTCCCTCCTGCTACAATTAGAGTTTCTCTCCAGATTCTGTATTTGGTGGGCAGAAGGGCTGATGGTTTTATGCAGAAAGTGTGGCGGGGGGGGGGGGGCGGTACAGCCACTATCTGGAGAAGAGAGAATGCAGACAGTCATGGCCTTCTGGAGCCACATAGGCCTGGGTGTGAATCTATTTCAGTCACCCGCTAGCTGTGTGGTCCTGTGTGTCACTCTCCACTGCTAGCCTTCAGAATCCAGATGTCCCTGCCTCTCTCAGGGAGGACATCAGGTGCTGAGCTCGATGAACAGGCATCCACCTCCCACAAGGACCAACCCAGGCCCTTTGCTCCCCAGGACAGACTGAAGACCCCTTTCACGATCACAAGCCATCTGGTCCCCAGATCTATGCCTCCCCACAAGGCCCAGTGCTAACCCCCAAAGGAGATGGATATGTGGCCTCGCTGGGGCCAGGGGCAGCTTTGCCCACTTAGCACCTAAATTACCATGCTCTAAATCCAGAACAGGCTCAAGGTAGCTGGTGGCTGAAAGTGTTGGAGCTGGAAAATCAGCCAGGCCCAGGGCTCCAATGAAGCACCGGGAAGGCCTGGGGTGGGGATGGGAGTGGGGCTGGTGCTAGAGGGCTGGGAGCGAGAGAAGGGCTGAGCAGGAAGGCTCCCAGTCCCCTATTGCCGGCAGACCAGCTCCACGTTCATCTCTTTGTACCCTCGCCCTCCTCATAAGGGGTCTCCCGATTCGAGAGTTTCTTAGCTAGAATAGATTTGAAAAGCCCTGACCTTGGCCATTTAGAACACCCTGCTGCCTAGGCCCCTCTCGTCACTGCCTAGATATAGTAACAGGACTAGGGGAGGGAAAGGGAAGTGGGAGCCACAGGGGAAATGTGGGGAGATGGCCAGTGTGGCCTCCTGACCCTCCTGTCTCCTCAACACCCTCAACTCAGCACCTAGCACATCAGGGTGAACGTTCAGGGAAAAATTGCTGATTGTGGGAATGCCTGAGAGACTCCCTTCCCTGGCAGCCTGGAGGAGAAGCAATGGCTTCATTTAACCTGACAGGATCCAGGGAGGGGGGAGAATGAGGGCATGTCTGGTGTCAACTTTAAGACAGTGTCGGTGGCTAAGGCTGAGGGAAGGGAGTCTAACAGATCTGGGTTCAAATCCAGGCTCCATCACCTATCAGCTGTGTGACTCAGGACAAGTTGCCTAACTTCTCTGAGCTTTGGTTTCCTCCTCTACAAAATGTGGACAATGGTTCCCTATCTCTTTGGGCTGCTGTGAGGGTTAAGATGAGATCTAAAATACTTAGCATAGTGCCTGGGCATAAAGTAAGCCCCCAATAAAAGGCTGTTTCTGTTCTGGTGAGCTTGTTGCTGCCCTGCTAGACAGATTCCCCCTCCAAGACCAAGAAGGGCAGTTGTCCTGCCGCCTGAGGTAGGCAGACCACCTCTGTGGCTCCCTGATTTGGGAGGCAGCCCAGAAAGGCCTCCAGGCTTGGTTTTTGCAGAGGGCAGCGGAAAAAATCAGAGCTGAAGCCAGCAAAACAAGGATCCCAACAGCGGGTCTGAGTCAGCTCCTCCTGGGTCTGGGGGTTCAAGAGCCTTCCTCAAGGTCACAGGACCTCCCAGTCATCCTGCCCTCCATGTGACCGCCCCCTTGGCCTGAGTCCTCGGAGGGCCTGCCCGGGCACCTGTGAGCCTGCCACACGGGCTGGGAAAGCACGGGGTGTTCTAGCGCATGGCGGAAGCTGGGTCTCAGCCACACGGAAATGAAAACCAGCTTGCCCAGTGCTGAGTTACCATGTTGCCTGAAATCAGATTGATTTCTTGGGCTTGTTGTGACAGCACTGTTACAATTGATTCGTCTGGATGGCAGGGAGTTTATCTGTTTGGAGCTGTCTGTCATTGATCTGAATAAGCTTCTAAAATAGCCCAAATACCTGGTGAGGGCGAGGTTGCCACCAAGCCCGGCTCAATATTAATTATAATAATGAACAGGCATGAGGAGGGTTGGTTCATTGCCTGCCCTACAGGGCTGGCCTCTGTAAGTTTTGTGTTTAATATTCATTGCAGGCCAACCCATGCAAAGAGCGGGCAGACGCTCCTCAACTGGGGGAAGTTTGCACAGGACAGAGAAGGGACTGGTGCTGTTGCAACAAGAAAGGTTTAGGTTAGGGGCGCCTGGGTGGCCCAGTCGTTAAGGGTCTGCCTTCGGCTCAGGTCATGATCCCAGGGTCCTGGGATCGAGCCCCGCATGGGGCTCCCTGCTCGGCAGGAAGCCTGCTTCTCCCTCTCCCACTCCCCCTGCTTGTGTTCCCTGTCTCGCTATGTCTCTGTCTGTCAAATAAATAAAATCTTAAAAAAAAAAAAAAAAGAAAGGTTTAGGGGTTAGACCTCAAGGAGGACTTCCTAATGACTAAAAGTGTTTGGAGAGAGCATACCATTCACTCGTTAGCCAGGACAAACTATTTCTTCCTGCGTCTGTTTCCTCTGTAAGGTGGGGATTATGATACTTCTCATAACTGCCACCACCTCTGCTTCTGGCTGAAAAATAAGACAAAGCAAAACACTGGAAGCCTCTTCTGGTTCAGGGAGAAGCAGAAGGGTCCTACCCCAGGTAAAAAAGCATCTGCCTTTCTCAGCTTTGGCACAGAGTAAGCATTCAATCAATGGAGTTATTATTATCATAATTATTGATTCGACGAATATTTATTGAGCACCCCCAGGAAACACTGGTGAACGAGCCATGATCCCCTGCATTGGAGGAGATGAAGCCTGGGTTACTATGGGAACCAGGACATTCCCCTTGCTGTAGGCTCTCAGGAACAAGGGAGGGCCCTAGGGGTGGGAGACAGCTTGGAAGTTGTGCCTGGAGGCCAGTGGAGGAGCATGAGGACCTCACCGGGTGGCTGCAGGTCCCAGGCTGTGTCACCCAGCAGCAGACAACTCCACGAAAGATCAGTCAACAAGAGCCCCTCCAGAATAACGTTCTTCCAGGAAGAAGAGGATCCTTCCCTCTAAGGATCTGGCAGAAATGTGATCAAGCTTGGGGTTCAGGTCTGCAAGAAGCAAAGGATAACAAGCTGTCCCTGATGACACCAGCTGACATGCAGCAAGGAGCGCGGAGGCTGAACCAACATCAGGACTTCCTGGCTGAGCTTTGGAGGGCGTGAAGGAGACCCTGGATGGAGAGACTCCCAGGCCTGCCTGGGAGCCTGGTCTGCTGCCTCCCTTGCAACATTCCTTGCTCTGTCCCTGCAAAGCTCTCCTCTCTCTTGCAGCTTGTGGCTAGCAGGGACCCCCATGGCCAGCCTTAAGAGAAACATCAGAAGAAAGTTAATAGCGAAACACTCTGGCGGATCTAATTGATTTTTTTTTCCTATTGGTTCCCTAATATAGGCAACACTGTTCCTGCCGCTTTTCTGGGCTGGAGATTATGTCATAAATAAAGAGATTTGCTCCCTATTTCCATGTGCTTATCTTTAATAAGTTAAGAATTCAACAAGCTTTAGGAGGACTTGAAATAAGCAAGGGAGTCGGTGGTGGCTTCGGCTGGGAGGTGGCAGCAGCCATCACAGCTTTATTTCAGCAGAGGGGGTGCAGATGGCTGAGGCCGGTGGGGGGAGAATTTGCATTCTTCACTGGGGCTGCACTGGATCCAGGCTCAGCTGGAAGAACACAGGAGCGGGAGGGAGAGGCGGGGGAGGGAATTCAGGGCGGCGAGTATGGCAAAATGGATGGACAGGGCCCCTGAGGCTGGGGAGACCACGTGGGTGGAGAGTGTAGGTTCTAGAGCTAGCTAGCCTGAGTTCAAATCCCAGGCCCATCATTGCTTACCAGCTGTGTGACCTTGGGCTGTGTTCCTCGGCTCTCTCTCTTTCCTCATTTTAAAGACGGGTAATATCATCTATCTCATAGGCTGCTGTGGGGCTCGACAACAAGCAAAGAGCTTAGAACAGAGCCTGGCCGGGGGTGTGCATGCAACACGTTCCCCAGCACGTGACCATGAAGACACCGCCTAACTCCATGGACCTTAACCGGCTACTGAGCCTCTGCCACGTGCCAGGCGCTGGCCTGGGCGTCACCGATGAGTGAGACACTGCTCGGCCCTGACTTCAAGGAGCACCAAGCCCGCCAGTGCCCCAGCACCCGTGACTGGAATGAGCTGCGTACCCACACTGAAGGGATCTGGCGAGGGTTGACCCCTTCCTGGGGAGGCTGCCATTCTTATGCCCTGGTCTCAAGGCTCACTCACTCTCCAGTTCCGGACATGCCACGGATTAATTCTAATTTTCTTGAAGCTGATGGTGAACGGAAACTGTGGGGCAGGTGCCGGAACAACCCCCCTAGAGACTGAGGACAACCGCCCCATCCACCGCACACTTAACGTGTGCCGGTCTATAAGGACCAGGATTTGAACCCAGGCCCGCTGACTTCCCCTGCTCCAAGCACTGTCCTCTCTTCCTCATGCTGTGCTGATGACCACAAGCATTAACGAAGCATATATAATATGCACAGCCCTAGGCTAAGAGCTAAGGGGATAGAAAAGTGAATGTAACAAGCATTTATTGAAGTCCCTACTCTGTGCCAAGCCTTCCTACAGGTTATCTCACCGAATACTTTTCTGAAAGGCAAGTGGCACTGTTTGCCCTTTCTTTTTTTTTTTTTTAATATTATTTATTTATTTCACAGAGAGAGCAAGACAGCAAAACAGGGGGAGCAGCAGAGGGAGAGGGAGAAGCAGGCTCCCCGCTGAGCAGGGAGCCCAATGCGGGGCTTGATCCCAGGACCCCAGGATCATGACCTGAACCGAAGGCAGATGCTTAACTGACTGAGCCACCCGGGAGCCCCTGTTTTCCCTTTCTAAGTAAGGAAGTGGAGGCCCAGAGAGGCCCAGAAACTTGCCCAAGACAAGCATGAGGTTGGGATGACTTGAACCCAGACCTGACTTCCAAGCCTAGGCACTGATGCCCCTCAGCCCCCTGATGAGCGGTCTCTCTCTCCAGTGGGTCCTGCTCTTGCAAACCACTAACATGGCTTTAGCGAAACCAGCAGCCGTCCCAGCCTATCCAAAAACACCCAGCATGTGCCCACCTCCACCCTTTCCCCTCACAGCAACTTCCCCTGACTCACAGAAGACAGAGGGCAGGCCCAACAGCCTTAAGCCAATCTTTTGCTCATCTTCTACGTCAGGAAACAAGGCTCCTTAGCACCTTCACTCCTTCCCTGAGGGGGAAATCAAGGCTCAAACATATGTCAGGTCTTGGCCAGACCCTCTGAGTCAGTGGGGCTGAGACCAGAACCACGCTCCCACCTCTGCTTCCCAGTGGTACATGGGGCCAAGTCAATGATCCCAGGATGCTGCTCAGCAGCCCCATCAATTTCTGCAGCCCGTCTGAGCCAGATTATAAGTTCTCCCTTCGTGGACAATTTTGGAGGGGCTCAGTGTCAGTGTAGAAGCTGTCCAGTGAGGGACAAGACCAAGAAACTGTTTTTACCCCTCTCTGCAAAGGGGCTCGAAGTGGAACCCTCCTCTCTCCCATAGGTCTTGGGTGGCCCTTTCCCAGGAGATGGTTTCCCTCTCGGACCCACATTTTGCATTCACCCTCTCTCCTCCAGGCCATTGTCCAGACCCACAGATTCTGTTGCTTTAAGGATTGGTGACCTCACAGTCAGTTGCTATAGAGACCATTGTGATGTCACAAGCAGAGGACAAGTAGTTCAAGGAGGAGTGGAGGGTAGAAATGCACGGCTAGAATTGAGGGATATCCAGGGTTTCTGTCCTATTTTCATCCCCAGAAAAGGAAGTGTCTGGAGCTGGATTCTGATATCTGAGGGAGACCTGGCCATGTTTCCCTGTGTTCTCCTGAGACTAAGAGACCTCTGAGACCCACAAGAAGGGTCAGTGAAAACAAACATCAGAAACACTCCCCACCCTGGGGTGGTAAGTGGGCTACCTTTGTAGCACAAAGGAATGAGATTGGATGTCAGGAGAAACCATGTGGCTGGAAGATCCCCACGGAGGGGAGATGTTGCTTCACCTTAGGAAGCTCGAACCATGGGAGACAGCCTCTAGGGCTTTTATTATTTAAGCATCTTGTAGAGATAGACGTGCCACATCACAGTGAGTTGAGACTCTATCTCCCCTCCCTGGTCTGGGAGCTCCTTAAGAGCACTCTGCCTCTCCATATTCCCCTGAGGTCCCAGCAAAAAAGATGTTCCCTCATTCAGTAAACAAATGAGTGAGAAGGTGATGAACGAACTGGGTAGGTAGTTGGGTAGGATGAGGGAACGCATGGACAGACGAATGGATGGACACACAGGCAGGTGAGGAGCCTAGATCATGTACAGCCCCACTAAGCTTTGGAGCTCTACACCTGCCTACCTCTCTAGCTGCATCCCACCACATCCTTCTTTTCTGTGATCCAGCCACATTAACCATCTCTTAGTCCTGCTGACTCCAGGACTTTGCACATGCTGTTCCTTCTGCATGGAATGCACTTCCTTTCCCTCTTCAACCAAGTTAACACCTACTCTTCCTGCGGCTTTCTACTCAATCATCACCTCCTCAAGGTCGCCTTCCCTGACGGGGTCAAACCCCCAGTGTAGGTCTCCACAGCCCTGTGAACCTCTCCCGAGCACCTGATAGGTTACAGTTTGTATTTTGTTAGGTGGTTCTGGGTAAGGTCTCCCATTCTAGACTGTGAGCTCTGAGCCAGCAAGGCAATGCTGGTTTTTGTTTTGTTTTGTTTTAAGATTTTATTTACTTATTTGACAGAGAGAGACACAGTGAGAGGGGGAACGCAAGCAGGGGGAGAGGGAGAGGGAGAAGCAGACTCCCCGCTGAGCAGGGAGCCTGATGCAGGGCTTGATTCCAGGACCCTGGGATCATGACCGGAGCCGAAGGCAGACGCTTAACGACTGAGCCACCCAGGCGCTCCGACAATGCTGTTTTCACTCACCTCTGTACCCCCAGCACTTAGAACAGCGGATACTTAATAAATATTTGTCTAATGAATAAGTTAATAAGTGACCAGTCCTGCCCTTGCCTGTTCCAAGCAGCCTGCCCTCCACGGACTGCACCAGGGGACAGAATGTAGACATGGGCCCCTTGCAGGTGAACCGAGGACACAGGCCCGAGGTTCGGGGAGCCTGCGGTCCCTCCCACACCTGCCCCTGCCAAGGCCCTCCGGCACCCATGCTCTTCTGCTCTGCCTTGTTAATACATCTCGGTTTCACCCTGAACTGCCTACAAATCACTCAGCCGCCCAGGGCCGCGTGGTCCTCATCTGTACAATAGGGACAATGACAGTACCTACCTCAGAGGATTGTTTTTTTTTTTTTTTAAAGATTTTATTTATTTATTTATTTTGAGAGAGAGAATGAGA